ACTGCATTTTTGAGATTTCTGACTTTCAAATTTCTGATTTCTCTCATCACTGTTTTTGCTTTGATACAGTCCTATATAATTTTTAGGGCACTGCAAAAAGAGAAGAAAGGAACAGTTTTCCTCTCTCAAATATTTTTCTGATGCCTTTTATATCTGGATTTTCTTCATTGATTATTCAGACCTCCAGAATGCTTCCCCCCTCCTCACCCTACATATCTTCAGCCTACTTACTGTTCTAACTCTACACAGGACCCTCTTTGTCTTGTAATGAGCAACCCAGCTCCTTCACTGTGGGTGGAAGTACCCAGCTGTGCTTCTGCACCAGTGAAAACCATCCCTGCTGACAGTGAATAACTAAAAAGAAAACCTGTACTCAGTAGGAAAGTTTTAAATTTATAATTTGTTTTTAAATTTGTCAGTTCTGCATTTAAAAACAAAAACCATGTCTTCAGCACTAGCACCTTAGACATTCAAAATTAAACACCATTAGACATTCAGGGTCTTATTCTAGTCTCTACTGAGTAAATATTTCATTACAACAAATTCACACTCTACTGCATATTCCAATGCTTTGAATTAGCAGAACATTGGAATGAAATTCTCAAGCAAGCCTGGAAAAAAAATCAAAATTCCCATATATGTTTGACAGAAAATCCACTGACACCAAGACTCATTTCACTGCCTTCACCAAGTTTTCAGTACTGCCCTGGTGACTAAACCAGATGAAGTTGTAAAATAGAACTCAACACTGCTTTACTTACTCTTCTTCTGCAAAAAGCTGCCCAGAGATGGCATTAGCATTGCCCGGTGCATAGTTCCAGACAGTCTCTCTAATGCCAATATAGTACTCCCGGTTCACTGCCCCAACGTGGCAACAGCAAGAAACCAGCGAGCAGACTAGGAGAAATAGCTTCATTTTGCATTCATGGACCTTGAGGAAAACATGAAATAAAAACACACGATGGACACATGCAATTTCCTTTTATATGTTCCTATCCCTCCTACTCCCCATATCCTTACTTCCCCCTCCCTGCTGCTGTTTGCTTTTGTGGAAACAATAAAAACAATTGCACAATGTCTCTGTGTGTCAAGAGCAAACAAAAGATTCTGGTAACTTCATCAGTTCAGAAAAGCAAAGAAATTTTTTCTATTTTTGCAAACCTACAATCACACAAAATAGCATTCAGATTGTTGTAGAGTGCGAATCTTGTCACTGAATTGAAAGCAGATTTAAATGGATTTACAGACTTGGGAGTTCTTTAAAAATGTCATCTGTGCTCTGAGCACTGACACAATTATACTCATTCTAAACTAAAATTACAATTTTCCATTGTATGGCAACTTAAAATTATCTGTAATAAGCAGGATATCCTTTTAATCTATTTTAATACTGGGCAGAAAAATTATGATTATTTTGGATAGAAGACTAAGATTCAGAATATAACTAAAATATAGCAGTTTTCCTTTAATGACATAAAAATCTAAGTCTTGTTCACCAGGACATATAAGATAATTCACAAATTTTAATCACTATTCCTATCAGTCACTGTCAGAATATTTAATTTCTTCATATTTCTACACATTCGGATTAAATGAAGGATTCTACTTCTCTCTACATGACAAAGCCAAAGCTGAGATTTTGAAATCTTTCCAAATCTATGATGAAATTCTGGAGTTTCACAGGTTGATGTCACATTATCAAAATTATTTCTGTAGGGATTTTTTTTCCTTTGCCACAGATGAAGATAAGTAGAGCAGTGTAAAGATCAGCCTATTGGAGTTGCAAATACCCATTTGTAAATTAAGTGAGGTAAAAATGAGAAAGCTTTTACCTCCTATTAAAATACTTTAATTCAAAGTCATTCCTTCATAAATCAGTTGTTCATGAGTATGTAGGTTTTTGATATATTTTTGTTCAGATTTCCATTTGATTGAGGAAGAGAAAAAACAACACCAGCAATACCCTTGAAATCTCCACATTTATTTGAGGGTAAAAGTATATGCTTTACTTTGCCTCACACCCCCGAATATTCTAAATTACTCTTCCTTGATTTCCAAAAGAACTGAATGGTTTTTTAATGTAAAAATATAACAAAAACTTCTGACAGGCAATATTTTCCACTCCTGCTTTTAATGGCACCTCCCCCAAACTTTCAGATTATCTGTATGCCTAAACACACTCCTCTTACCTTTTTCTTAAGGAGCTCAAAAGTACCTCAGTTTCTGAGGTCTGTTTTATCTTCTGAAAGTGTCTGAAAAGCAGGAACTTCTCTCAGGACCTAAATAAAAAGACCCTATTTAATTGGTTAAATTATGGGTCTGCAGTTTGGTGTCATTAATACTCCTTAATTGCTTTAAACCACAGTACCTAATTTCTCATATTGAGGATGCTGAAATACTCGGACTGTTTTTGAAATCCCCAAAATTGCATTGAAAAGATAAAGAAAATATTTTACTTCCAAAATTTTCCTTGAAAGAAAATAATAAATAAACCCCCAAATTGAATATTCTGACAAAAGGTCACATATATATTCATATTCATAAGATATGCATATCATATATATCATTCATAAGATCACACAGCGAGGCTGAATTGAACCCCCACCATTTCACAATTCTTGCATTTGAATGATGTGTGTCTGTTGCCTGCTGCTCATGCTGCTGCTCTGGTTGCCTGTAAACCTCTGCAGTTAAACACCATTTAAAGAGCTGGTGCAGCTTCATTTATCCTCTGCTGCTCTATGTGGAAAACCCCTCTATCCATAATGGGAACAATCAGGAAATTGTAGTTTTGCAAGAGTCACTTTTACCTACACAGATATTAATATACCCTAAAATGCAAAGGTGTGGATGGGGCTCCACAGAATTTTGCTACAAAACTGGATGTCTACTGTGATTTCCACCTGCAGTCTTTTAAATGAATGGCATTACTGTCCCAGACACAGAATCCTGATACTCTGGCAAAATGCACTGGCTGTGGGGGACAAATAATGCTTGAACTCATATCCGCAGCTTTCTTCCTCCTGTGCCTGGGGTGTTTACACGGGGATTTCAGCATCTCATGTTCAGGAACTCTTGCGCAAAGAAGGGTTTCTCCACATTCCAACATTCCAACATGGTGCAAGCCTTGTTCTGGCCCTGAGGGCCACTTCTCCCTGTTGTTGAGGTCTGTGTTCTGCAGCTGCACAGTCACATTGCCTCAAACACCACCATCAGGATCATTGGTTATGTCTAGATTTCGAGCCAATTCGAATTCAAGTTAATTAAAATTCTTTGCAGGAATCTTGGTTCTGCTACCAGAGACAGCTCATAGAGCCACTTTTTAAACACAATATACTTAGGATTGAATCAGGACTTAAATTGATTAGATCAAAGTTAACTTTGCCTTACATCCAAAAGGCCTGTGTGAAACAGGCTGTTAAATTTGGAAATACAGCCTGCTGTTAGCCTTTAGTATTCTTAACAATTTCAAATCAATAAACTGAATCTTTGAAAGCAGAACCACCAAGTTTCAGTTGAGGCTGGTTGTGGTAATGGAGATGCCAGATTCTGGATTATGGGTAAAAAGGGTTGCAGGATCAGGAAGCCAAACAAGAACTACATTACATGTCTCTTTATTTAATTTAAGCCCCAAAATTAAGAGATGTCTGTGATAGATTGGAAATGTAAATTCACCAGGCACAATCACACAAAAAATGATAAAGACAGATCCAGAGTTTGTAGGCAAGAAATCAGCAAGATTCTCTGAGATGTTTGGTGGGAGTACAGGTTGCTTTTTAAGTTTTCTTTCTTTTCCTTCTGTCCACAAACAACATCCACAAATCCATAAAAATGCAGGATTATAATTTAAGATAAATGATATGTCACATATTTAAGTCTAGAGAAAAACAAGTGTGCAATGGCACAGTCCTCATTTTATCATCATGCCTTTGTATCATGCACCCCTGACAATCCATGCCAGGTTGAACCATCTCCAAAAGACTAGCCCCATTTTTAGATATTATTAATTACTTTATACTCCTTGCAACTTAAAAGAAACTAAGCAATTAAAATTTTAGATGCATTCTTGAAATCCTACAGGAAGAAATCAGCTATACAAACCCATCTGACAAAGGAATATGAAGGCAAAAACTCAACATTGTCTTGAAACAGAACTAAATGACTGATATATTCTAATTTTTTCTAAATAATTTACCCAAAGCTAGTATTTGATGACAATGTACCTGAGTTTGCACTAGTTCTGATGTAATTGGCATACATGCATTATTGCAAGTCTGAAGTACATATTTCTCTTTCCTCTTAGTGTTCAGAGGAAAAAACTAAAAAAAAATCAAAACCACGAGTGCTAAATACAGTCAAATGCTGGCCATGCAACTGCAAATGAGCCAGGTGTCCACTTCATTGTGAATCCCTGAATTTTCACTGAGAATGAAAAAATAATTCTCTGAGAAAGTAAAAATACCTTTTAGCTGCTAATTTAAAACAGGTTATTCTTTTTCATTGGATCATCATTGTCAAGAATGTTAGCCTTTCAGTGTAGCAAGATCAGGATACTTGGAAGAATATTAATAAGCTAGCACTGGGTGCCCACAAAGTTCCCTCATATGTTCCCTCAAGTCAAATCATACTTGACTAAAAGAAAAAAATTTTCCTCTAAGTGTAAAGTGAAAAGAAACCCAGTGCAGCTATTGATATGTACCAATTAGTAGAGCTGAGTTCAGACCTGTATGTCTAATATGTCAATCAGGCCCAGGTGCCTTTCTTACCACAGAAAGACTTGATAGACTTTTTTCAGAAATTGCTTTTTGCAGTTACAAACTTCTAAGATGGAAGGACAAGTGTAGGCTCTGCCCACCTCCTTCCATGATTGCCATCATGGTCTGTCTGTAACTAAAATTCATTCATTTAGAAATCATGGCTTCACTCAGTGCACTAACAACCCCTCTTGATGTACTAGGCTTTGAACCAGGCCCTTTTGAAACCACAAACAGTCATATGGTCTAAGCAATGACAAGGGAGTACAAAAGCAGTTCTACAGCATCCTATTAAGAAAAAACAATAAGGTGATTTCAATACAAAAGCAGTTCCATTATATTAAAATATCCCTACTGTCACAACAAGTTGGAGGGTAAAAAAATTAAGTGTCCCTGCCAGGCGCAACAGGACAGGTGAAGAAAAATGCAGATGTCAGACAGTTCAAATAGACTTCATCCAAAACATAGAAGTTTGACGGACAGAGATTTAAGACAAGGGTATCATTTTTCTTTGTAGCACTCAAATCTACTGCTATGGATTATGGAGAGGTTCTCTCTTTTTCTGGGGATGGGGGAGAAGCAGCAACAATTTCCTTGCCATTTTCAGAGAATTCCAGCCTGCAAGTAAAAAAAAAAAGTGCTAATCTTTCTCATTATTGCTGTGAAAGCCACACATTAGTAAGAATGTCTGTCAATTGAATGTTAGAACAAAGGTGTTCAGCAACCTCTGCTGACATAATAGTGAGGGACTTGGCATCCATGTTAATTTCCTAAACACTTTTGTTTCTTCTCAGTCCTAGTCTAAAAGGTCAGAGTGAGCAGCCACTAGCCTCTGTATACCACAAGAAATTAGTGGATGAATCAAAACAAACAAGTGTATTATCAGTACATATTCTCTGGAAAAAATATGCCATAGCATAGAGAATGCATAAATCAAAAGGGTAGGTCTACAACTGAGAGAAATTGCTGAAGCTACAGTGACAAGGAGATGCTGAATAAATAAACCTCAGATGTTTTGTTACCTGCACAAAAACAGAATAGGTCCCACAGAGTGTTCGTTTCAACTCAGTGGCTACTTTGAGAATACAGATGATCAACTGCAGTCCGCTGAGTGCTATCAAAATCGAGAGTAAAATAATATTCCACTCCACAACATTAGCAGGTTCTGTGCACTTAGACCAGGCAGGGTAATCTGTGAGGTACCTATTAGAGAAACACCAGACTGAAGTAAGAAGAATGTTTCTGACTACTGATTTGATAAACAATTTCTTCCAGAAGAGTTAGACCAATGTTTCTTACCCCCCAGCAGTGTCTTTGAAAATATAATTCCATCCACTTGATGAATTGCAGAAAGGGCCTTGAATCAAATGCAGGGTAAAAATGATGCAACTGTATCCCGAGAAAGCAATTCCAAGAAGGGCTAGCACAATAGAAATAAAACTCTGAAGTAAAGAGAGAGAGAGAAGTATTACCTTGTGGGGATAGTGTCAACAGCAAATATGATCATTCAGTCTGTCTAGCTACTTCCTTGGGGCTGAATTTCACATTTGATTTTCCCAGTCTTCACAACCCAGAAAGAAAAATAGCAGGTAAAGAATAGTAAGAATACACATACAAAAGAAAGATTAAGACAGAGTTTAAGACAGTTCTACAACTATAAGTTATATATTAATTTTGTGGAGTTTTTAAACTTGTGTTTTTGTAAAGTTGTTTCCCAAAATACCAGAGGAATGCAGCTGTGTATTAAATATGTCTGCATCCCAGATAGAGTGTATTGAGTAATTTCTGAAAAAAAACCACTTCCAAATAATACAGGCAAAGGGATGAAGCTATTTAGCTGGTGTGCTTCGTTTTGTGTTCTTATTTTATTTTACAAGGATTTGGGGAAATGTGTGTCTAATTTTTTTTAATCCTGTTTATGCTTCAGATGAAAGAAGCTACACTTTCTGTGACCTTGCAACCCAATTTAGAATCTTCTGTGAAAGGAAGTGAAAACAGAGCAGTGGAGAGGGCAGCAGGATGTGCCGGAGCAGGAGCAGGAAGGCATTGGAAACAAATACTAATGTGATGCACAGAAATAAAACACAGACTCACCCTGTAGGTTTTGTTACAGCTCTCACTCTGGCAGCACCGATAGAACACACTACACTCCAGTGTTATTAGAATTACTGCCAAAAGAAGGATCTGTAAGAGAACATCATACGATCAGTGAGATAACTGCAGATACTAAGCCAAAGTCTCCTTCACCTTTGGAAGGCAGGGACTGCATCTCTTCTGCTGTCTTGATATTTTAAAGCTGATCCATAGGACAATTACTCAAGGCATACATGGAACTCGAGTGGTTTTAGTAGGCTGCTGGTGTACTTGTGTCTTGTACTTGAAAGACAAAGAGTACAGCCTCTACCATCACAGTAAAGTGCTATGACCTTGGGCACAGCTACACCAGTGAAGCTGAAACTATAAAACCAAGGTCACAAACAAAAGAATCAATACCAGTGAAAAGAAGGATATTTTATTGATACAAACACATCAGTTCAACACCTTCGTGCTGACACAGGCACACAAATCAGAGTATTGCCTTCCTTACCAACACATTCACTCTAGAAAAAGGCAGTAACACAAACTTTTGATTACATTCACATGGACTTTCATTTGTCTTTCAAGTTCATTTGGGTAAAAGACCTCTAATTCAACCTCCACAGGTGATTAAATCAATATACTGTTTGCCTCCATAATGTAAGCATAAATTACATATAAACAAAAAGACAGCAGAAAAAAAACCCCAACACACCCTGCAATATCATTTGCACTTAATAACATACATAACTTGTCATTCAGTATACTATTTTTTTCAGTTTGATTGAGTTTTCTGCCTGCAGTGGTTTTTATTGAAGAAATCCATATGCTCTTTTTTTAAAGCAATTACATTACTGAAGAGTAATCCAATATTATTTGCAGTAGAATGCAATTCATTAAAAATTCACAGACTGAGCACTTACCATCACACCTGAGAAACAGATGCCTTCAAAATACCACTCATGGCTGGGGAACTGGTAACTGGCAGCAGGCAGAGCTTTCCCGTTTGGAAAGTATAGGAGGATGTTCACAACAATACTCCAAAGTGCAAGAGGTACCAGCAGGCAACTCAAACAGTTTCCACATGTCTCCAAAGCCATCTCTCAAGAACTCTGGAAGTTTTCTTCTTCTAAGCTAATAAAAGTTTACAAGACCTTCAATATAAGAAATATTTTGACCTCCCCAGCTTGATTCAGTATTTCATATTCACAGGAACCAGTGACTGGGGTGTGATTCCAGGAACAGAAGTGCTTAACAGTTAGCAGAACAACAGATGAATATCACTGTGTAAACTCACTGTCCTGTGTTAAACATGGCTTTATGTAGTCATTTCCCTTTTAAAAGATCCTCCTTTGTGATCTTCCAAATGAAATATGTCTAGGAGTCAGACTCAGGAAGGAACTTCAAAGCTCTCATTTCCTAGTACTGCTCAAAAATGTCCTCCTCCCCACCACACAAACTGCAACATAGTTTGTGACAGAAGCAAGGTTTTTCAACCACACTGCAGCATAGGGAAGGGGGCTCTAAGAAGATAAATATGCCCAGTCTCTGTACAGAAGACGACACTTTGCCTTATACTACAGAGATTTATTAGGAGGACCCTAAGGGGGAACCAATGAGATAATGACTTTCAGCAGCAGGCTGAGTCTGGGCCATCTTGCAAAGACTACAGAAGCCCAATTAACACTGGTTAGAAACTGCAAGGCAGACTTATTTTCACACTTTTAATCAATTACTCTTTCCCACAGCATTATGTGGCTCCAGTACTTTGCACATTAAATCCTGCTATTTCTCCAGTTGTTTCATTCTGTGCTTACAGCTGAGCTTGCACAGCTACAAGCCTGACCTATGTACATGTGACTTCTTGTGCAGGACAAAAGGTCTGGCTGTTGTTTTGAAATGCCTGCTGTTTGCACTGTGCAAAGCCAAAGTCAGGCAGCTTTCCAATAGTCTATGTCATCATTCCCCAATCCCGGAGCACCTAAACACTATCCCAGTAACACAGAGCCAGGGCAGTTTGAACACTTGCAGCAAAACCCAAGCCTTCAGTCTTATGCCCCTGTGAGTCACCAGAAAAGTAACTCAAGAATGACCTTACGCTTTACTCAATAGCAAAGTTGCAGCTGGAGAACAGAAAAAAACCAAAAAACCCCCCCCAAAACCCCCCGAAACAAACAAACAAACAAACAAACAAAAAACAAAAAAACCCCCCAAAAAAATCACCGCCAAAAAACCCAAAAAATCCCCAAAAAACCCAAAAACCAACCAAACAAAACAAAACAAAACAAAAAACCCAAAAAACCCCCCACCACAAAACAAATAAAAAAGGGGCCTCTATCAAAAGCAGGAAGGCTGTTTTTAGAAGCAATGACATCCCAATGTATTTTCCTTCTGTTTCCATGTGAGCTGTTTCAGGCTCGTCACACATGAGGCTCCTCTCATCCTCTCATAAAAGCTGTTTGGATTGTACGTTGTAACTAATTCCATACTATCGCTTAACATGAGATCACACAAGGAAATGGGCGGGGCGGTACTCACACAATTCCACCATTCTTCTACCTGTTCTCTGCTGTGACTCTCCTCTTTTCCTAGGAGGCTTCATTTTGAAGTCCTCATTCTTGATCTTCTCATATTTCCTGTTTTACTCTCTCACCACTACGGATACTTTTTTTCAGGTCTTCCTCTCATCAGAATTAGTAGCAAACCTGCCTTTCCAGACTCATAGGCAGAGACAGAGCTCATGTCATCAACACTACGCCACAGAGAGCAGAGGAAACAGCTGCATAAAAATCACGCACATCCAATCCCCATGATTTTTTTTAGTACAGAACTCAAATATCATATAATTGGCTGAAATATTTTCTTAAAAGCAAAGGCCAAAATTAGTAGCAAGCATCTTATTTTATAATCAAATTTAATGTAATTTCCATCATAACCTGTTCTGATTAGAAACTACCTTGAGAAATGATGACTGAAGCAGCATTTGTTCTGCAGTACAGCAGTCTGCTTCATGACTTTGCTTTTGAACTGAGCCCTGCAAAGCTCAGTGTGGTTATTTTTCTGGCACACAATGCCACTAGAACAGGAAACAACTACTTTATACTAAGAATTAAGCAAACCTGTAAGCTAGTTTCTCAAGCATCTTGCCAAGTGTTGCAAGCACTGCTTTTCCATTGCTGTCATTATTCATGAATTGATTCCAAGCCTGTTACCGAAAATTCATGTTTAGTCTGTGTGACTTCTCTACCAGCTGATATGAATACAACCTAAACCAATCACTTCTTCACAGTGTAACTGATAAATCTCTCAAAACAATGTCTTATGCACCAGACATCAAAATAATCCAGCTGGTCATTTTTTACATGACAATATAGAGAGTGAGCAGTAATGCTGTGCATTAGGGCTACAAGAATCTGTTGGTGCTGCATGCATTTGTGCTGATTTGAGTCTAAACGCTAGCCTAATCATTCTATATATTGGAATTCTATATATTGCAAAATTGTTTCAGTTCTTTAAGTTATTGTGTGTACCAGAAAAACAAATAAGCATTATGCAAGAATAAAGGCAAATATCCTTAAGTTAAGTTGCATGGTAATTATACATTATTCTATTGAGGACTTTCTTTTCTATTTTCTCTCCTTCCATACCCCATTTAAACTTGAAGATATTTTTTTTCAAAACTGTATCTTCACACACAAAGACACTGTATCACACAGCTGCAAGGAATTTTGTGTGTATACATATGTGCATGCAGGTATTCTCCTTCCTCCCTCCCATAGCAGGATAGGACAGGGATAGACACTACAAAGAAATGGCATTAAATGGCATTAAAGTCCCTCAACTACCTCTATGTATTTAGGTATGAATAAATACTCTTGCAAAATTCAGGTATCCTGAGATTCTAGATACAAACTCTTTTCATGTGAGAATTCTTTTGCTGGTGTAGATGTATGTAGACAATTTTGCTTTCACAGTTCACTTCTTTTTTTCAGGTATGTATTTGTACAGGGCAGACTTAACTGTGCAGACAGCCTGAGATACACCTGAAGTTTCTGGCTGTCTTTAAGGACCACCCTCCTTGTTACAAATAGCCTAAGGATGCACTGTCACCCACTGGAACTTCTTTTTATCCCATGAATAGAAACTAACTTGATTGTTTTCAAGGACAGTATGAACAGCTAAATTCAAAAACTGAGCCTCATTCCTTTGAAATAAAGAGCTTGTCACATTTTGGTTTTCACTTGAAAAATGCCATTGCCAGCAGCAATGCTACCATGCTGGCTTTGCCAGCAATGCTGTTGGCAGCACATTATTCAGATGTACTTGTGATGAAACATTCACTCTAATGTGCAACAAGCCATACTTCAAAGGTTCTTACCCAGGACCTTACAGTAATGCCTTCAGGCTGATAGCCAGTAAAGTCAGGTATTTCAGATTAATCTGTCTTTACTGACCTGAATTTGGGCTGCATTCCTTGAACGCTGTGAGGCCTGAGGGTAGCTGAGGCAAAAAACAAGAGTCATGCCCGCATCTTGTTTTATCTCAGGATAAAATGGAGCAATCAGGAGGTGATCCCCCTTGGGAGACCAGGAGGTGCTAAGCTAGGCTCAGATGTGCAGGGACCCTCTCAGCTCCCCGGTTGAGAGCTGCCAGCCCTGACCCAGGACTAAGTCTCCACATGTGCTGTTGTATCTGACCCAGAGCTGTTGTTGAACCCTTATTGAGGAACAAACACCTGTTCCAGTTCAATGAGCCAAACCAAGCAAGGAAGCAGTTCCTACTCTGGCAGAGCCTGCTGGAGAAGAAAAACAGGTTATAACCTGACTGCATTAAATCCATGCTCTCAGGCCACCACTGTCCTTTACTCCAAGACCAGGCAAGCAGTGTTTCAACATGGGCAGGGAAGGAATCAATGACACCTCCTGGGTATTTTTAATACAAATCTTTATTTGTGAAATACAGGGGAAGTTCAGAAAAATTCTTAAAAGCCCTCAGTCATCCACATTTTACTGCTGCTTTGGTTTTGGTCCAGCTAACCAAAACCTTTTATCCAGGCCAGGCTGGATTTGGTTTGTGTTCATTCCAAGATCGGAATGAAAGAGCAACTTTATTGGGAAAACAGGACAAAGTACAGAGCTGTTGTGTCAGTAGAAAGAGAAAAATAAATAAAGTCACTTTAGTGACATGTTTTAAGGCAGTTGCCTGTACCAAGATGAAATGAACCAAAGATATTCAGGATACATTTACTTTCAGTTCAGGCAGGTTAGTGGAAAACCTGCATATGACTCCAACGGCAAAGGCCCCAAGTCAGTTAAATTCATGGCAACAGCACAGTTTGACAACAATGTGTATTTCAGTTTGCCTGGAATATTTTAAAAAAATCCACAGTATATTCATTACAGCACACACATGCACCAATGTCAATACATGGTGAGGTTTCTAGCAAACATATGTCTGTGGGGGGGAACAAAAAGAAAGAAACATATTAATAGAAAGAATGCTAATATTGTATCCAACTAAAAATGCAAAAATTAACCTGAGCACATTTAGAAAACCATAGCATAGCTCTTCTATACTGGAGTTAGAGCAAGGAAGACAGGGGGAAGAAAGTGGCAATAGCTTTGAAAGAGCCCCAGGACTCAACTGTGTCAATTAAAAATGTGAAACACATGCTTACCTATAGTGTGTGATATAAATTATATCTGGTTCATGCTTTAAACTATGGTTTTTCCAACACTAGCGCTCTGATACTGATTTTGGAATATGTCCAAACTATTTAACAAGGCTTTAAAGAAATTTGGAGAAAATTTCCTTTCCTCACTAAAAAAAAAAAAATCCACCTTCCAAAACCTTCCAGATCTGTCTGCAGATTTTATTAGCTATTTGCAATTTAATTCTTTCTCTTATCTTACTTCCACTGTGCAAGGCCAGGATGCTGCAGTTTTCATTATATGCAGCATATTGTCAGTAGCTTATGAGCTGCTGTGGACAAAAGCCAAGGCTAATACAATATAGTTAGAACAAGCACCACAAAATAACACAATGGTTTAGGCAAAGACCACAAACACCAGGAGATCAGTATCTCAGTTATATCACCTATGCAGTGTGATGATTGCATGTGTCATTGGACAGACAAAAGCCCTCTAGCTCTTAGGCAGATTAACATTACTGTGACCGTTGAGGAATCAGCTGAAAGCATGTGATCAAACACTGCATGAAAATTCTAACCACAGCAGGGCTATAGGAACAGCTGTACAGGGAATTGTTGCTTAAGAATACCTATAAAGTAATTGCTGAGTAAAACTCCACAGTAGTATAAGTAACAAGTTACATGTTCATCTGGAAGTAT